ACAAAAACACAACTGAATATTTTTGTCGTCTTCCTCCGCTTATCCGGGTCCAGGTCGCGGGGGCAGCATCCCAACTAGGGAGCTCCAGACCGTCCTCTTCCCAGCCACCTCCCCCAGCTCCTCCGGCAGGACCCCAAGGCGTTCCCGGACCAGATTGGAGATGTAACCTCTCCAACGTGTCCTGGGTCGACCCGAGGGCCTCCTGCCGGCAGGACATGCCCAAAACACCTCCCCAGGGAGGCGTCCAGGAGGCATCCTGACCAGATGCCCAAACCACCTCAACTGGCTCCTTTCGATCCGGAGGAGCAGCGATTTTACTCCGAGTCCCTCCCGAATATCCGAGCTCCTCACCCTATCTCTACGGCTGAGCCCGGCCACCCTACGGAGGAAACTCATTTCTGCCGCTTGTATTCACAATCTCGTTCTTTCAATCATTACCCAAAGCTCATGACCATAGGTGAGGATTGGGACGTAGATCGACCGGTAAATCGAGAGCCTGGCTTTCTGGCTCAGCTCCCTCATCACTGCAGACGCTGAACCAATCCGCCTGTCGATCTCCCGATCCCTCCTACCCTCACTCGTGAACAAGACCCCGAGATACTTAAACTCCTCCACTTGAGGTAGGACCTCTCTCCCGACCCGGAGTTGGCAAGCCACCCTTTCCCGGTTGAGAACCATGGTCTAAGATTTGGAGGTGCTGATCCTCATCCCAGCCGCTTCACACTCGGCCGCGAACCTACCAATCAAGAGCTGAAGGTCAGAGCTGGATGAAGCTAGGAGGACCACATCATCCGCAAAAAGCAGAGACGAGATTCTCCTGCCACCAATCTCGACACACTCCACACCACGGCTGCGCCTAGAAATTCTGTCTATAAAGGTAATGAACAGAACTGGTGACAAAGGGCAGCCCTGGCGGAGTCCAACCCTCACTGGGAACAGGTCCGACTTACTACCGACTATGCGGACCAAACTCATGCTCCTCTGGTAAAGGGACTGAATGGCCCTTAACAAAAGGCCACCCACCCCTTACTCCTGGAGCGTCCCCCACAGGGTGCCCCTGGGGACACGGTCAAAAGCCTTCTCCAAATCCACAAAAACACATGTGGATTGGTTGGGCAAACTCCCATGCCCCCTCCATCACCCTTGCAAGGGTATAGAGCTGGTCCACAGTTCCACGGCCAGGACGAAAACCACATTGCTCCTCCTCAATCTGAGATTCAACTATCGACCGGACCCTCCTCTCCGGTACCTTGGAGTAGACCTTTCCAGGGAGGCTGAGGAGTGTGATCACCCTATAGTTGAAACACACCCTCTGGTCACCCTTCTTAAAGATGGGGTCACCACCCCGGTCTGCGACTCCACAGGAATGGTCCCTGATGCCCACGCAATGTTGCAGAGACGTGTCAACCACGACAGCCCTACTACATCCATAGCCTTGAGATACCCAGGACGAATCTCATCCACCTCCGGGCTCCGCCGCTGTGTAGTTGTTTGACTACCTCAGCAACTTCTGCCCCAGAGATTGGACAGTCCATCCCCAGGTCTCCCGGCTCTGGCTCCTCCTCGGAATGCGTGTAGGTGTTATTGAGGAGCTCCTCAAAGTATTCTTTCCACCGCCCGACTTTAGAGCTCCGGACATCACGTGACTCTCAGAGAGTAGAGGCCATATTGGCAGGCAACAAAGGTAAACAAAATGAACAGGATTGGCATGGATTTTACTCCGTCTGAGTTTACTTCACACTTTAAAACCAAAGAAATTATTTTATATAGTCAGAAATCAAATAGACTAAACATCTCCGACCCTTGCCATGCCCCTGGGATACTTTTTAAAAACGCCAGAAGCTGTCGGAGCGGACCTGGCCAGGGAATGCCTTGGGATTTCCTGGAGGAGCTGGCCTAAGTGGCTGGGGAGAGGGAAGTCTGGGCCTCTCGCCTTAGGCTACTGCCCCTGCGACCCGACTCCGGGTAAGCGGATTGATGGATAGACAAATAACACAGATTTACACGTAAGAAGTTTAAATAGAGTGCTGTGCTGTTTGAATGTATAAACTGAACGCCAAGAGAAATCACTAGTCTGATTTTTTTCCGTGAATAAAATAAATATGTCAGGCATGAGCGTCCCAGGATCTGTCTGAGATCTGTCTTGGTGAGACAGATAATAGCAATCCAAAGTGCTTTTTATGTGTGATCTGACAATTGATCAACCATTGCTTTAAAATTAAATACAACTTAGCTGGTTAACTGCTGTGATCATAAAACACGTAAACGGCAGCACGCAGAAATCATGAGGCAACGTTTAACTTGATGTTTACTTGTTGCTATGAGTAATAAGACAGAAAAAGCCACGCCAAAATAAGTTTAGGAAGCCCATTAAGAATCTTAATAAAAGCATTTAAAATAAATACTATATACAGTTGAGGAAACGTTGGTTTAAGTACCTGATATGAAGTGGTCGCTGCATAAGCAAAAACCTTTACTCTTGGGATCCCTCCCACAGTTTCATTTTAGCCCGGTCACTAGCGCGTTTTATTGCAATGATCCAACGTTTGCAGCGTTCCGGATCTTGGGGAATCCTGTAGAAGGCTCATCCCTTATGTCGTCCGCTTCTGTTCTGACATCCTGGGGTATAACAGGAATCTACCATATTTCCCATTTGATTGAGTTTTCTGACAATAACAAATAGCCCAGCTGCGGGCTTCTGCCTGCCAAGATGGCACCGTTTCGATTTTAACTGTTTCATGCCGGGAGAAGTGACGTCAACTCCCGGAGCTCTATAGCCCCATTTGACGTCAGCAGCTCCCCATCCCTACTGTAAACAGTGTGAGCGAGTTGCTGCCTTCCTCTCCTGAGGCGCCGGACAGTTTGCCAGAACCTCTTTGGCGCCGATCAATAGTCTTTCTCCATGTCCTCACCAAACTCCTCCCACGCCCGAGATTTTGCCTTGGCAACTGCCACTGCTGCACCCTGCTTGGCTATCTGATACCCGTCTGCTGCCTCCGGAGACCCACAGACCAGCCACGCCCTGTAGGCCTCCTTCTTCAGCCTGATGGCTCCCCGAACCTCTGGTGTCCACCAGCGGGTGCAGGGGTTGCCACCACGACTGGCACCGACCACCTTGTGACTACAGCTAGCAACAGCCGCCTAATCAATCGCAGAGTGGAACAAGACCCACTCAGAGTCGATGTCCCCCACTGCTCTCGAGACGCGGTCAAAGCTCTGCTGGAGGTGGGGGTTGAAGACCGTCTTGACAGGTTCTTCTGCCAGGCATTCCCAGCAGACCCTCACTATGCGTTTGGGTCTGCCAGGTCTACGTGGCATGTTCCCTTGCCATCTGATCCAACTCACCACCAGGTGGTGATCAGTTGACAGCTCCGCTCCTCTCTTCACTCGGTGTCCAAAACATACGGCCGCAGGTCAGATGATACGACTACAAAGTCTATCGTTGACCTGCGTCCTAGGCTGCCCTGGTACCAAGTGTACCGACGGGCATCCTTATGTTTGAACATGGTGTTCGTTATAGCCAAACTGCAGCTTGCACAGAAGTCCAATAACGAAACACCACTCGAGTTCAGATCAGGCGGGCCGTTCCTTCCAATCACACCCCTCCAGGTCATGCTGTCATTGCCCACATGAGCATTGAAGTTCCCCAGCAGGACATTGGAGTCCCCTGATGGAGCACTATCTAGCGCTCGTCCCAAAAAGGGTGGGTACTCTGAACTGATATTTGGCGCATAAGCACAAACAACAGTCAGGACCCGTTCCCCGACCCGAAGGCGCAGGGAAGCTACCCACTCGTCCCCCGGGGTAAACCGCAACACTCAGGCAGAGAGTCTTGGGGCTAACAAAAAGCCAACCCCAGCCCTCCGCCTCTCACCCGGAGCAACTCCAGCAAAGGAGAGTGTCCAACCCCTCACAAGGACTTGGGTTCCAGATCCAATGCTATGTGTCGAGGTGAGTCCGACTATATCTAGCCGGTACCGCTCAACCTCTGCCAAAAGCTCCTGCTCCTTCCCCGCCAGCGAGGTAACGTTCCATGTCCCAATAACCAGTTTCCTTATCCGGGGATCGGACCACCAAGGCCTGGCCAGGCCCCATGGGTGAAAGCCCGGCCATCAGGCGCTCGCTCACGAGCCCCAACCCCAGGCCTGGCTCCAGGGTGGGACCCCGGTAACCCTCCGGGCCGGGTACTTCGACTCTGTTTTTACGTCCATGAAAGATCTTCTGAACTGTTCTTTGTCTCACCCTTCACCTAAGACCCACTGGTCATGGGAGACCCTACCAGGGGCACCAAGTGCCCCAGACAACATAGCTCCTAGGATCATTAGGGCACTCAAACTCCTCCACCATGATAAGGTGACGGTTCAAGGAGGACCACAACTGAATATACATATACATATATATATATATATATATATATATATATATATATAACACAGTAGCAATTATAAAGAACAGTAACTGGAGGTGGATTATTAAAAATAGCTCAATACTGAAATCATTACCTGGGGAATGTTTCGGTTCTGTCCATTCAAACAATTCTTAGTACTTTTGGGATTTTAATTGAATGTGAAAATGTTAGGTTAGATGTTGAAATGTTCACAACATCCCTGTTCTTAACAGTGAGCTCAGTGGGCTAAAATTAAATTTTTGAACTCTAGTCAGATACCTAACCTATGCTTGCATCCTAGCAGTGCTGACTGTCACTAACCAAATGTCTTTGAGTTTGTAGACGCTGATCAGCATTTTCACTCTGTGGGTCTGTGTGTAAGGAAAGCAGGTGAGTAAGTAGATGTGTGTAGACTTGTTCATAGGTTAGGGCCCAGTGAGTGTTGTGTCTGCTTTGCACTCTGACTCAGAATAGTAAAGCATCCTAATTCAAAGATCCTCATAATAAAAACACCAAATACTGTATATCCAAATGGTTAAATGTTATTTTAGATCTGAGGGGGACACGACTCCCATGGCAGTTTCCAGAGCTCAGTAAAACACATATTGTAAAATTTAGAGAGGCTGGATATAACTTTTATTTCCCACAAAGTCATTTAATCATCCTAAGAGTCCAAACAGAAGGTTGAAACCAAAGACTTCTAAAATCGTGTAATGAAGTGCTTTTATGGCACATGGGAATTTATGACCAAGAAAACATACACTACAACATCAAGACAACAGGTCACCACATCAAAACTAGTCTTTGCAGAGCTGTTGTGGTCATTGCTATGAATAAAAGAACACTAAAGCACAAAGACAATTTGTGTAACGGTTTTGGGGGCAGACACCATTATCAAGATCATCTTGTCAGAGAAAATATGCTACTGCCCCCTGCTGGAACTACAACACACCACCACTATGAACATTTAAGCCTGTGAGTCCTTCAGTTTACCAACCTAATGCAAAACAGCAAGAATTTACTTGAGAAATCCACAGATGAGGAACTGAAGTGTATGCATGTCCATATTCCCAAACTTTCTTCATCTTTATGGCATCCAGCAGCATCCTCATCATGAGTCAGCAATACCACAGCCCCCATAATGGTCTTGGGGGCATTCCCAGCATCCTTTACTGGCAAGACTGAGGAAGCAGGGCATGTTGAAAACACCATTAATTTGTTTGTTCAATCAGCAGGCGATCAAGCTCCACTTTGTCGGAGTGCTTTCCTTATATTCTGCCTTTCCATTATTTCTTGGAAAGAAATTTCATTTTGTTTCCTGGAAAAATTGAGAAGCAAAAAAGCATTAGGACGTAAGTTTGTTTGAGTATACATTTAATAATCTCTGACTGATCCTTACCCAAGCCTTTAAGAAACCTGTTTACCCTCCGATGTTCATTTTCACAGATAGAGTCCAAATACTCCTGGACTCTTACTTCAAAGAGGCCTGTATGGTAAATGAATTTTTTAAATAAATGAAGCAGTTAACCATTTTCCCAGGCATGAATAATACTTCCTGATTCAGTACCTCTTAGAGCCTGTCTGTGGAGCTCCCTCTCCTGGATAAACCAACCAAACATCTGAGTCTCCATGAAGACCTCCAAGAAGCGACGCATGGCCTTGGATGGGATCGCTTTCCGAAAACCGTCACGCTGGAACGAGCAAGAAGCAGGGGAGGAGGATGAGGAGGAGTAGCCATCCTCCCGTTCACCGGTGATGAAGAGTGGATAGTGTCCTACTAGCTCTACAAAGAAGCGGACGAAGCACTCAGACACCACGGTGCTAAGTTGACCGGAGTCTGGAGAAACATAAAGACAAGTCCATTTTTAGAGATGTGCATTGAGCATGAGGTGAGAGAAGCCAGTTGAGGTGGCTCAGGCATCTAGTTAGGTTGCCTCCTGGAGGCCTCCCTGGTGAGGTTTTCCAGGCATGTCGAACCAGGAGGAGACCCAAAGGAAGACCGAGGACACACTGGAGGGACTATTGTTTCTCGGCTAGCCAGGGAACACCTTGGGATTCCCCCTGAGGAGCTGGCCCAAGTAGATGGAGAGAGGGAAGTCTGGGCTTTTCTGCTTAGGCTGCTGCCCCTGCGACCCAACCCGACCCCAGATAAACCGATTAAAATGGATGGATGAGTATTGAGCATGGATTTGTGCCACTACCTAGCTATACCAGAGCCTCAGAATACTCCAAGCACACGTTAAAAAACATTTATGGTCCTTTTGCACCTCTCAGCTCAGCTTCACTTAACTCTAAGGGTAAGGGTGGTTTTACATTGAAACTTAGAATTGTCTCTAGCAGGTGATCGTCAAACCAGGGCAGCCCCCAGAGTTTGACAAATTACGTGAGGTAATCTAAATGTGACACAAAACTACAACACAAGTCACTGATGGAGGACATTGAAAGGAATAGACATGAAAAAGACCTCAAGGTGGAACACTCTGGCGTCAAATTAGGGTAATACTGTCGCTGCGGTATGTCTTTTGAATGGGCCGTTGCGGCAAGGCAAAGTGGGAATATTGTGGCATTCTTACCGCCAACTTGATTACCGCAATGCCAAACTTCTGAATGAAGATCAATTCAATTCAGTTTATTCATATAGCGCCAAATCACAACGAGAGTTGTCTCAAGGCACTTTCCAAAGTAAACATTCCAATACAGTTTATTTCATTAAGCCAATCAGTCAAAAGTTTCCTATATAAAGGAACCCAGCAGATTGCATCGAGTCACTGACTAGTGTCAGTGTCTTTACAGCAATCCTCATAGTAAGCAAGCATGTGGCGACAGTGGAGAGGAAAACTCCCTTTTAACAGGAAGAAACCTCCAGAGGATCTTGGCTCAGTAGAAGCAGCCATCCGCCACCATTTATTCACGAGTCGTGAGTGAGCCGTGTCAATTTTGGCAGGAAGTCAAACCAAAACAAAAGAGGCAGGCCGGTAAATGTATCAAAATAAAGACATATTTCTAAATGAAACACTACGATTAATAAAAGTGAGCATTTTTGTGCATCTAAACAGACTAGAGAGATGAAAATGAACAAACACACACACACACACACACACACACACACACACTAACAGCAAGGGCACGGGCGGTGGGGTGGGAGGGGTTGGAAAACACAGAAGCGCTCGTTGAAAATTCTCGCCTGATGTGAACAGAGCAGCGGGAAACGTGCGTATCTCGTGAGCGATCTGCTTCGCGGCGTTTCGCAGCTGATGTGATCCTGGCGTTGAACTGCCATTGTGTAATCTTTCATGTAAAAACACATGATCACGCCACATTACTGCCACAGTCTGACTACTTATGAATGACCAAAGCCATTATTTTTTTAAACAAGCTAGTGACTCCACCCCCTAGCCAGTCAGTGGCTGACATTCTTCAAAGTTGCATTTCTGGTCCAGCTCTGTGCACTTGTAACCATCTCTAGCAGGCACTGACAAAGAGACGGCAACCTGGTATCCATCACTGGTGGTAACGCCTTGTAACCGGGCTGAACCGAGATGAGCCGTACTGACTAAGTACTGGTGGAAAAGACCCGTTATAAAAATAGAGCATGACTTTTTCTCACTGCTTGTATCTGCGCCTCGCTCATTAGCAAGTTCTCTTCTCCTTTCCAGAATGTTCTCCAAGGCTGACTGAAGCTTAAAGGGAAGGATTGAGTCCTCGTCATCCAGCTAAAAGTGACAGAAAAAGGAAGCAAAGGTGTTTATAAAACAGCCAAATCATAAAATAATCGTTCAGATTCTAGAATTCTAGACTAAAGGTTTACCTGTCTTAGAAATCGATTATTCTCAAGATCCACAATGAGAACCTGTACAAAGATGAAGGAATTTACATTGAACAAAGTCCTGATCTCCCATCTGCACAAGTAAGTCTCGAGAACCACAGTAATGTGTTATTGCAGATCTCCCCCTTCTGACCTCCTCTAAGGGTAGCTCACTAAGCTGGGGCAGGGAGCTGGACAACATGCCGACGATGAAAGGGGTAGGGGTGCAGACAATGTCGAGCATAGCAGAAGGAAGCACGGGGATGTAAGTGTGTTGCCATACGAACGGGTAAAGCAACGCCACAACAGCATGACAGCACTGGGAGAGAGTGCTGTAGGTAAAAAAAAAGAAACAACAGCAATCAGAAACGAGCAGTTAGGTGTAGTTAGGATTTATCTTGGTACTTTAAGTGATTTTTTTTCTATCTTGCAAGACAAATGAAAAACACATGAAAATAAAAAACGAATGAGAATTATTTTTTAAGCATCTCCATTAAGTATAACAGATGTAATGAAAAGTGTGATCCTGGTCTCATCCCTGATACAGGGTTCTAGTTGTGATAAGCTGCACGTTGCTCATGTCCTTAGCCTTGAGTTTTACAGAAACAAGAAGCTGGTTTTTGCTGTTTCCACTACTACTACTGACTCATTCCCACCATATGAGGGGGACAAAGTCTTAATGCAGTCCTGAATTGATAATTCCCTAAAGCCACAGTTCCCAGACAGAAAACAAGGGCTGTGTTTACTGACGTCAATGGTCCTGGCATTCTAAAACTTCAACCGTGACAAATTTTTCTGACTGCCACTGACTTGAACAAACAAACTGGTCCTTGTGCGGCAACAACCGAACATGCTGTCCTCTAAATATCTCTGGTGTGATCCAAGAATCCCTGAGATTCCTACATTTATTTTGAAAAGTGGGTCTGGACCACCCACATGTTATCAGACGTCATGATGAAAACCTTCCTGCTGTTTTAGGCTAATATTAGCCTTTTTCGTCATTACATAAACATTGGATGACGGGTGTTCAGTTTAACACATTCAGAAGCGGTAATAACACCAAGGGTTTATTAAAGTGAAACCTTAGCTTGTCAGCAGTGAAGATGACCCGTCTTTCCTGCAGTAGCGAGCCAAACACCCTAAGGAGCAATCGCAGACCCAAACAGGAGAACAGGCATTCAAAGTCCACGTGTTCCAGATGAGAGTCGGGGGGGCGACACAGCTCCATCACCTGCAAAATTAATGTAAAGCTTATGTTTGCTCAGTTTCTGGGGTCTGAACTGGGTTATACAAAATAGGATATACAAACTGTTTATATGAGGGTCTAGAAAAAAAAAGTGTATTTATTTACTCATATTACTTTAATGCATTATTTAATGGGGTTATCAGAATGCAGAGAAAACACTTCTATTCTATTTCTATGGTTCTATTCTACCATATTTACAATTATTTTTACTGTATTTAAATATTCTTCCTACTTAAAGAGCAAGTCACCCCCAAATCAACTATTTGTTTCTGATAAACTATATAAATGCGTGTCTAATCGTGCTGCAGACACGTGTAGTCAATAGTTTTGCACTTTAGTGTATTTTAGTTAAAATTTAAATTTTCTGCCTGAAACTGGCAGTGTTGTGCCGTTGTCAGGTAAAAACTCTGCACTACATTTGAATTTAAATCTGCCACCGCTATTGGTTAAGAGGTATGCTATGATGTAAACTGGTATATTATGATGTCACAATGTCGTGAGTGTGTGTATTTGTTAGTGGCTCCACCCTCTCGGTCTTTCTAGGCAACAGCATTTGTTGCATTTTTCAAACATGAAGTGGGAGTGGAGTACGCTTCTTGTAAAGGGTGACTTGCTCTTTAAAGTAAATAAGCTGTTCCATTTCTTATTGCTTTACTGAGAATTACCAATCTACCATGGTAACAACCAGGAGCTCATTAAAGACACCATGGTAACCATGAGTGGCTTATTTAGGCTGCCATGGTAACCATCTGTGGCCCCTGTTTTGGTGTTTCTCACCTCAGTGCCAGAGCCAGGGAGAAAGGTTTTGATGCTGATGGTTCTGCCAGGAGCTGGAAACTGGGCTTCCATGATGGCTCTCATAAATGGCTGCACCAGGGCAGGAGACAAAGCCCGCCGCCTTTCTACCTCATCCAACACCTACCATTCACACAATAATGCATATGGTTTATCTGATATTCAAAATTAGTTAAAGCTGCTATTGCAAACCTGCAAACCAGCTAGGTTTTGAATGCAAACAAGGTTATGGGCAGTGTTGGGCAAGTTACTTCAAAACTGTAATGCATTATTTATTACTTGTTACCCTCATTTTAAAGTAATTCATTACATTACAATATTACTGATTTTAAAATGTAAGGCATTACACTACTTTTGCATTACTTTAAGTTACTTTCACCAAAACAATTTCAATATGAATCTGGTAATCTGATGCTCAGTGAACTCATGACATATATGTGGAAAGTGATGTGGTGTCTGAGCTAGGATTGCTGTTAAAAACAGTCAGATATGATAACAGTTCTTTATTAAATAAAAGCAACAACAAACTGCACTCTCTGCATGCTGCCATCTTAGATTAACTGAACAGGGAGTGAGGTGGTGGGGGCTCCAAGCCTATATTTGCCTTGGTCCCCAAATGCCTTGATACGGCCCTGGATGTGAGACTGACTTCTGGGGTGATCTGATTCTATCACATGTATAAATATTAAATGCTTATTTATTATTGCTTTTCACTGGTAAAAATGTGTACTGGGGATAAATCTACCTACTTTTTTCTTTTCAAGCACTTTGTTTTGTTTTCTTGGTTTTATTTGAATAATTTCCTGCCCTTTCTCTCTCTAACCTTCCTGCATGCTGCATCTTTTCTCAGTCTTTCAGAAAAACTGTTTCCTAGATTTCCTCCTTTCTAATTAATCAGCCAAAGGGATCTACCAAATGCAAATAAATAAATAAATAAAAAGCTTAATGTGCGCTGCGCTCCAGCAGCCATGAGTTGAAATCACCGGGGCACAGATTATGAACTCAGCTGAAAAGTACATGAAGTACCAGAGAATATGGGCGGATATAAACGATCAAAACGAATTATTTTGTTTTGGTGGAGCGATTTTGTGAATATAACAGCGGCCGCGCGCAGGACGCAGCTGGAGTATTTGAGCCATTACCACTGCGTCCTCTCTGCTCATAGAACGCCCGCAAAGCTGAGTCCACGAATGACGTAATATATGTAGATACTGGATCTTTTTTCAGGCTTCCCGCAATTTGAATTTTTAGGAAACCCACGTCTTGATTCTGGGGTTAAAAATGCATTGTAATTACCGCATTACTGACAATTGTACCGAGTAAATATTACCATTTTCTTTCCCTGTAATGCCTTACATCACCACATTACAGCAAAAAGCAAGCATTACAGTAATTAATTACTTTTGTACCGCGTTACTCCCAACACTGGTTATGGAACACAGACCCCTCCTGGCGGGTATTATCCCTTGGCTGCGTCTGCTGGGACCGGAAACCCGCTTTCCCAGGGTAAACGAGAGCCCATTAAACACCAGTTGCTTTTTTCTAGGTCCAAATTTCTTTTGTTGCCCACAACTTCAAATGGTGCTTTTCTTTTTGGGACTCTTTACTAAAGTTGAAGTGGTAGCAGCCAGATGTTTCTCTTCAGAAAATATTGAGCTGCAAACCTTGCACACCAGTGGTGCTCTGTTGCAAAATACACAAATGCGTAATGAATGGAGGACCCAGGGAGATGCAGAAGTGTGGTGGTTCGGCAAGACCGACAACCGAATGGTTCAATGGTTGCTTCCGGTCTAAAACGTGTTATTGGTGGAGGTTTTTAGACAAATGCAAGAGAATCGTTTTAGTAATTTTCTTTTTGTTTTTTGCTAATCTCCACAATATATTTTAGCTATACTGTGTGTTGTGTCTGCCACTGGGGGCAGTATAGGATAGGAGAGGAGAAAGTAGGTAGGAGAGAAAGAGAGGAAGGCCCAATCCCAATACTCGCATTTCCACACTTGCACCATTCAATTGCCCAATCCCGACCAGGGGTGCCAGTGTGTAGGGTGTGCGTTTTCTCACGTTTGGAAGTTGATCACGCCCCTTTTGCGCCCTTGAAATGCACTTCAGCCAAGTCTGCATCAATGCGGACTTGGGTGAAATATTACCCACAATCCAATGCTGAGGGAGAACAGGCTCAATTTCCTTTCCTGAAAATCTGTAGTTTCTAATGAAAATATTTCATTTTAGAATGATTAGTTGATGCTCTAAAACTTTTAGACAAAGCAGCAACAAATGTAAAAATAATTCAACTTAATAATTCAATTTAACTGTTTGTTTGAAAGCTAATAAAGTTTTTTTTAAGTTGCACAGCGACCAGCATCCCAGCATGCTTTGTGATCGATGATGCAATGCTCCCTGTCTTAATTCGGCAATTATTTAAACACTTGCGTACCACACACTCGAAGCCCTACTGTGCACTTTCTCTAAGTGCTCTTTGCTGAAGACCGCAGGATGCAGTGCGAGTACCGGGATTGGGCCAAAGTGACTGACTGCTGCATGTGACGCAGGTTGAATGAAGCTTGTAAAAGGAATTCTGCCTACTTGTGCTACTCCTGGTACAACGACCAACCACTGTTTGAGCATTGAAGGTTGTTAAGAGGCATGAAAAAAAATGTTTTAGGCTAACTTGTTTTCCAGGTTTGCCATAGCAGCTTGAAAGGGGTAATGATGAAAGATGTCTACCTTTGAGAACAAATTGAAACAGCCAAGGTGACTAACAATACAGTAGACTTCAGGTAGACGCTGGCCTTTTCCACTGGGCTGAAAATATAGGAGAAAATTCACTGTAACTTTTTTCTGCAACAACAGAATTATAGCTTAAAGCCAAAACATGTTTGGTTAAACAAATGCCATCTAAACACAGGAACATTTTCATAAACACAAACACCCATGCACATCCTCTGGAGATACATAAGCACACAGTTCCCAGTCTCACACACTTCCGCCTTTACTCTGAGACGGATCGTTTTCCCACAGGCGCACTGACTATTTTGGCATGTTTATTTACTCAGCCGCCATGTTGGTATTCAGCCACTTACTGTTCAGGAACAGCACACGTATTTATTCTGGTCGTGTTCATTTACCAGTAAGCGTCGGCAGTATCCAAACCTTCGACTACCATCCTCTCCCGTCAAAACAAAGGAGAACATCTCACTGTGAAACCGGAGCCAGAGCTGAGTTAGTACTTTGAGTTTTATGTTTTCTAGTTCTGGTGAGAAAAGGTTTACCTTGGGTAGCTCTCCACAGGCTCCCAGTTTTTCACATCAGGGAAGCAGAACTGAGGAATGATCTTAAGCTGATCTTCTGTCTCCCTCATAAACTTGAAGCTTCGCTCCAACTGAAAAATCAAAGAAGTATTTGGGAACCAAACCTTTTCTTTAAGTTTTTTTTTAAATCTTGGAAACACTTTACAATAAGTGTCCCTTTATTAATGTCAGTGCATTTTAAGCATGAATAAACAAAGGATCCTTTTATTAACTTTCCCAAAATTAATAACTATTAAGTGTCCTTAAAGTTAGGATAAAAGGCCGGGTGGGGGAGGTTGGATTAATAGTGCATAACCTAATATTTAAGACAATATGCAACTCTATCATATTTTTAAATGTGTGTGTAAATGGGTGAATGACTGATTGTGTTGTAAAGCGCCTTGGGGGGTTCCAGGACTCTAGAAGGTGCTGTATCAAATACAGGCCATTTACCATTTAAATTATTTTCTTGAGTCTGTACGTGCTAAAAGGACCCTTTACTGGGTTAATGAAAGGCCATCCAGCCCCATCACCCCCTGTGATTAGAATATTCCAGAATATTCCACTTGAAACTTCTGAGTTGCCGGTCACGTCTGTTGGGCTTAAAAAAAGGGAGTTGATAAGCCTGGCGCTGCAGTCTTTGTCCAGCACGTTTCCTGCATGTTTTAGATCATGAACGCAGCTGATTTGTTTAATTTAGTGATGAATCTCTCTGGTAAACACTAAGGAAGGCTGGGGAGACATTTCAGCTGTTAGATTAAGGTGTTAAAACGATGAACGCACAGTGAAGAGTAAATTTTGCTTTTGGTTTTTCAAACGGACACAAGGGGGTGCTAAAAGCAAGCAAAACTGTCTAGTCTACCTTTAACATTAATAATAAGCAGCTTTTAAAGAGACAATGTGTAATTTTTACCAAAACTTTCTGGAAATATCCATCAAAATGTTGTTGAAAATAAATGAAATGATGCCCAGTTGTTGAAAAATATTGACAGCTTTGTAACACATAACCATAAAAATCTGGTCTAAAATACATGGGAGCAGGTCTAAGTCTCTGGGCGACGCCATATTAGATGCCATGTTTCGTTCTACTGGAGCCCAGGAGGACAAAATGCATTTACTGATTTGTAACAAACAGTTCCAAAACTTTCGTCGTTCTTAAATGTTGTTGTTTTACACATTTACCTCTTCACTTGTTGCCAGTGATGAAATTGAGTCTGATGTGCTTGTCATTTTGCTGAAGTTTGCACTCCTCTGGGCTTTTTGACCCTAGTGGGCATCCATTGGTAAGATCTTACTCCAACACAAAAATACTGCTTGCTTTCAACGATTTATCTACTGCCTCCGTAATACTTTTTTGTAAACTATTTATTAATACTTAAGTAGCATCAATAAAGGGACCCCTGTTGTAAAGTGTTACCAAAATCTTGAATTAGGTTGCTCACTTTTGGGGGGAATTGCTGTGTGACCTCAGGCAGATAGTGGCCACCTGTTTTTGATTTTTGCAGAGACACAACCAGGAAGTATTCCAAAAGCTTGCGCTGATGGAGATCCTTCTTCAGATGGCAGTTCCTTGGCTTTGAGCAGTTGTAGTTCACCTTATTCAGCTGTCGTGGTAAGGAACGGGCTGCCAGCAGGAAGAAGGAGGAGCTTAAATGTGTAAAGTTAACCAAAGATGTCAAGGATATGTTGTGGTAGCTCACCTCTGAATCTGTCTTCAGCTTCACTTTCAGAGTCGCTGTAATCATCTGTTACTGTGAAAATAAGCCACAAATTTACACTTTTGGTTTTACAATAAAATGAAACATTTCTTTTTCTTTAGGATCATATAAAAGAGGATGACCTCTTCCTGAACTCGTGTCTGCATAATAACTTCTTCTCAAATGTTTCTTCCTGGTCCGAGCCTCAAAAATGCTGTTGATCTTCAGTACAACCTGTTGAAAACACATCACTCATTGTAAAGAAGTAAAACTCAACCTTTTCCGTCTCCAGTTGAGAGAACAAAACTAGTATTTGGGTTTTAGGACGACTTTTGATTAAACTGCCAAAAAATAATCACTGGAAGTACATCTACCACAAATTCATGTTTGGAATCAACCCAATTCATGATGGCCACAACAGCTAGTCAAGCTTAGCAAACAGAAATGGCTTTATTTGTGTAGATTTGCCAGATAATTTCAGTCCATCTTCTCTCAACAATACTGAGAAAACGCTGATATGAATGGCAATGACCAGTAAGATATTCAACCTTAAAGGAATTCTGGGCCTTTAAATAAAGACAAATCCCAGATAAAAGAACTGTTGAAGATTAAAAGGAAGGAAGCAGAAGTAAATTCAATAGAACACATAATGTCATGTTGGTTATGAATATTCTTAAACAGGAATATAAGCACAAACTGTTGGTATCCTGCGGCAGGTGCGGCTGTAGGGATCTCCGGGCATCCACTGGTTGTGTTCAGGCCCTGTGGGGGTAGATGGAGGACTGAGCTGAGGTGGAGATGAAAGCGCTCCAGCTCTTTGGTTCTGCTGGTTGGTTCTCTTCGAGTCCAGGAACTTGAAGCTTCTGGCTGAATTCTGTCTGAAGAAACCAGGTCTTGATGCCTACCAACAGAATAATAACATGCTCGGTAGCACTAACCAAAGTCAGGTTGTTTCTGTTTAATGTTTATTTTTAGTTCTCAGGAACCTTGGAGATGTCTGCACCAGGAGATGAGGGTAACGACTGCTGTGAGCACTGACTGTCCAGCTCTATGTCCTCATATGGGTTCTCATTGGACAAGTCTGCAGAGAGAGATTCTAGATGTTAATACCTATTACAACCATTCATTTTTAGACTAAATATCTATTAGAGCCTTCTTTGTTTAGTGGATCTGAGTGTAGGATACCCCCATAGGAACATTGCATGTCCCACCTTAAGTACCCTTATTAAGATTTTAAGTTTTTATAACATTGAGTATGGGGGCTGCATGGTGGTGCAGTTGGTGGCACTGTTGCCTTGCAGCAAGAATGTTGTTAGTTTGAGTCCCACCTGCGTTGCCTATCTGCACGGAGTTAGCATGTTCTCCCAGTGCATGCATGGGTTTACGCCAGGTCCTATGGTTTCCTCCCACAGACTAAAGCCCTCTAACAATCTGGGTCACATGGCTGTGATGTGTTTTGTCCCATAGGCAGGATGTTGAAATGCAAAAGGGCTAAAAACATGCACGTCAGGTTAAATGGTGATTAATTGTCCCTAGATGTGAGTGATGGTGGTATAAGACTGATTGTTGGCCTATGTGTGCCCCTGTGATGGACTGATGAACTTTACAGTCCCCCACTTCTCACCTGATGACCACTGGAGTAAGGCACCAGCTGCCTGTGACCCTAGTGACGACGAAGTGGTTCTCAGTGGAACACTGCCTGGCCAAAAACATCTCCACTTGGATTTAACTAAACAAATATATACTACAAATATTATCTTCCAGGGTGATGGGCGCATCAGAGTAAGAAGAAAGGCAGATGAAGTGAAGCACCCATCATGCCTAGTGCCTACTGTACAAGCCTGTGGGGGCAGTGCTATGATATGGGGTTGCTGCAGGTGGTCAGGTCTAGGTTCAGCAACAGGATGTGCTCCAAGAATGAGGTCAGCTGACTACTTAAAAGTACTGAATGACTAGGTTATTCCATCAATGGATGTTTTCTTCCCTGATGGTCTGGGCATTCTTCTAGATGGCAATGCCGGGATTCATTGAGTAAAAACATTTTTTTCTACAGTAAAATACTGACAGCAGCACCATTTTAAACCAAAAATACAACAATAAAAATACCTTCATATCAAAAAAGAAAAACTATTTTTCCTGTAATTTTCTAGTACCACTCTAGCAACCCCATCCAGCATTTTACCATAACAAGCTTGGACAAGCTTACTGAATTTATGCAACAGCGAATGTGTACCATAATCAAAGCTAAAGGCAGTCCAAGAAATATTTGGAATTGAGTGTTTAACCTTTTCTTTGCTGGCGACTTTTTTTTCGGGGGGGGGGGGGGGGGGGGCAGTATATCAAGTATTATTTTGCAAACAAAAGCTATTTCCTTTAGCTTAGCAAGCTGTCCTACGTGAATATAGTGCCTGGGCACAATCTATAGACGGAGCTCTATAGTGCAGAATTGATGGTTTTCTTTCTGATTGTCTCTGCATGCAATTGGACACCACTACGACCAATCAGAGCAATGTACAACAGGACGTACTCATAGCTATGGAAATCATTCAACGGAGCAGTCCGCCATATAACATTAAAGAAGAAGATATAACAAATCCTTTTTCAAAATAAATGACTTAAGTGCCTTTATCTGCTCATGTCTTGAAGAAAAGCCCAAGTCTAAATCGTCCAAAGTCAAAGCCAAAGCTTTTTCTCAAGTGTGCATTGTTCCTGAGCCTACGCCATCTTTGTAGTTTATTTCCATCACAGCTCTTGCACTAAGCCTGCTCAACATACCATAGATCACTGTGATTGGACAGACCTAAAACTGTTTGGGCCAATGGTAAACCTGCTGAGACTACAATGGTTCCCTTTCTAGGCTACATTTCCTTCCTTCTGTGAAAAGCTGCTTTCACCCACAAACCTTCTCTGAAAACGTGCTCTAGTTGAGAAAGGAGAAACCAACTTTAAAATGTAGTAAACATAGTAAAGGTGTCTGACCCACGATGTCTTCATAGTGATGTTCCTGAGAGAGAGAGCAGGTGAAGAGAGAGCTGGTTGACCCCCCCAGGTCTTCAAAGTCAAACAACCTTCTGTTAAAGGAAACAGAAGTTATCCAACAACAAAATAAATTTGCTGGACAACATTTTGTGAACCCTTTCTGTACCTGTTGCTGTCCAGCACTCTCTCAGCTCTGGGTCTCCCGTAGAAACCAGATGGGGGCTTTGAGGACGTATTTGATGAGATGGATGGCAGCGGGGGGAGATTCCTCTGGCCTCTTCCCTCTCCATGACTCTTTCCCATGACGCCAGCAGGTGGATGCTGGAAGGTGCGTTGAGGTTTGGGGACCGGATTAATTGGTGGTGCTCCCGGCTCTGTGTATACGTTCTCCTGATGCTCCTTTTCTCCAGAAGATCCACTCAGAGTTGAGCTTTCGGATTTGTTTTTCTTCATCTCCACTTTTTTGTCCTTGCTTGATGGGCTGAAGTAGTTCCCAAGCTCTGGAGGAGCTTTCCCGTGGTTCTCTCCTAAAGTTTCCAGCTTCTTAAAGAGGGTGAACACAGCTTTCTTCTCCTCACTTGTTTGCTCCGCTGCTCTCTTGTCTTTCCCTTTCCTCCCTGCCTGCGGTTTCTCAGTCGCTGAAGGAGAACAAGGCCTTGCATCTTCCTTAAGCTTTTCTCCGTGATTCACATTTCTCTCGTCCTTCATTTGGTTGTCACCAGCACTGCTATTAACCCCTTGAGGTTGTTTCCCGGTTTCTGCAGGTGAGCAAGGCCTCAGTTCTCTGGGTTTTCCCAGGTTTTCCTTTCCAATATCCTGTTTGTCCTTAAAGGCTTTCCTGCAACTGTCGTTGCTCTGCTTGTCTAATGTTTTGATGCTGCTGGTAGTCAAGGATTCAGTCTTCTTAATGCTGGTACACTGGCTCAAACTACTTGACGTAGACTCTTTGTTCTCCCAGAGGGAAATCTTGTTCTTAATGTTGCCTCCGTTTGACAAGGACAGCTTGGTTCCTACCATCAGAGAGCCATCGCTCCTGTTTGGATCACAGGCTTGTCTTCGGTAAGCCATTGTGGGTGGTTCGTCCCTCTGATCGGGCAGGTTTTCTAAAGGGGTCAAAGGCTGCGTTGAGGCCTTGTTTCGTCCTTGTTTTCTTCTCCTTTCTTGTTTTAGCCTAAAAGATCAGGGGAAAAAAACACACGTTTACATATTTATCCCTACTGAAATGCTAAAAGCTTTTTTGTAGTGTTTGAAAGCAGTAACACCCATGCATCGATCTGTGGCCCTAACCACCAGAGTTTCCTGAACTTCTCACTTGGTCACTGGGACTTCCAGTTATGGGACACTCAGTCTTTTTCTGGTGACGGTGGGAAAACTTGAGCCCGTGAGTAAATGCCAGAGGACAGAACTCATATGACTGAGCATCTTCTTCTCATCAGCTTTCCTAAATAAACACATACTTGGATCGGGGCCTGTTTCATCAGTCTGTTAAGTTTTAATAAATAAACGAGAGGAAATGGGGAGCCTTAAGTTGACAGACCTTCCATGGATGTGATGATTAAAAAGCTCCTTCTTTCTCAGGCTCAAGGATCAGTTGTGGCCCACTTTCTGGGGAATCCTTCATTAATAAAAAGGAGTTCTGAACTCTAAAGCATGGTAGGTGTCTCAGAGTGGGAACCTTATGTTTATGTCAGGTGTATCACTGTGGTAACTTATTACATTTCAGACAAGAGATGCCAAAGTGTCAGCTCTAAAACATTTTTCCTCTTCAGAAATAACACTAAAAATAAACTTTGATTGCAAACCTGCTCCATTAGAGGTAAAAAGTACTGCTACGATAATGATGTTTTGTTCCTTTTCCTTCTTAAAGATTTCAGACTTGGTCTACTAAATAACACACCTGTTTATGTAGAACTTACTCACTGTTTCTTCCTTAAGTCTAAATGCTACGCCATATTCACCACTGTACATTGATAATGATATTTGCAGCCATCTTACACTATAAAAGCAACTTGTTGAAGTAACATTTAAACAAATCTGAAGGTAAAAAAATCCATGCGTCTTTGTTCTCTAAACTTAAAGAAGTCATATGTAAGAATTTTACAGTGAAATAATCACAAAACAGTTTAATGTTTTAGTCATGTTGGACAGAAAGTTAATTAGAAACAGATTTAATGCTCAGCTGGCTGGGAAATCGTTCGTTTTTCTCCTTTCAAATAAACTAGAGTCACTGTTTACAGCATGTGAAGCTGTGAGGTGCTGCACCGAGGTAACAGTGCTATGTCAGCATTTGTAATTCGACACTGGCAAGAAAACCGCTCCAGAGTTGTTTAAAGAACCAAAGCCAGTCAACAGGAGCGACCCAGAAGTTATCTCTTCTATCCCTAAGAAGCTATTACGTCATTTTGTTCTACTCTAATATCAGGTGAAGCAGCTTAGAAACTAACGTAGAACTAACAATGCTAACAAGAAATCTGTAAATAGTCAGCTCTAAAAATATCTCAAGCTACTTTTTCAATTACAACAACTTGATCTTACAGTGAAATGTGTGTGTGAAGTGAAAAATTAGACAATAGTGGCATTTTACGTCCTTTTACGTCCTAGTTCAGAGCTATAACAGCAAGCTAACAGCGAGACGGCAAACAACCACACTTCATCTAATGCCGAAGAAATATTACCGTAATAAGTGTAGTAAGTGATCCCTACCTTATAACACCCAAGAGTGCTAACACCAGATATGACAATGTATTTATCTTCTTTTCGACTCACTGTGTATGACTCTTCTTCATTTGTCATCTAGAAACTTCCAGTGCTGATCCATAACTGGCAACAGCCATAAAACTCATGCAACGAAGGTGAGAAAGTGACTTTTGTTCAGAAAAATGGACTACAGTACTAAAATCTGACCACAGGATTTCATTCTTATGTCATTCTTATTGCACCTTTAATTGATCTTGGCAGGTCTTCGTTTGGTTTCATTTTTAAACTACTGCTGGACTCTCCTAACTTTTTATACATTTGGGTTTGTAGAACAAAATTTCTTTAGGATGGCATATGTCATTTTTGTCCCCTTCTATGCAGAGAAAAATTATGTTAAAAAGACAATTCTCACGTATTTTGAGTGATTTGATGAATGGCATAAAGGTAAAAATTATTGTCTGGAATATTTGGGTGATTCAGCTTTCACATCTTATATTAATTCTAGAGAAAATTAATGAGTGAAAAAAGTTAATTATATGTTATTTTAATTGTTTCAAAAGTTAATCCAACTGACTAGAATAAACTGATAAAAGGTTGTTACATACATAGTACATCTTAAATGAAAGACCGTACTACCACTTTAAACCGGAACACACTCTCCTCAACAAGCTGTAGTTAGTGGCGGTTTTACCATTAGGCATAGGTCGGCGGCCGCCTGGGGCCCCCTTATGTTGGGGAGCCCCTAGCCCTGACTGCTGGCACCCCTCTGTTAATGCCCCAATGGACTATTAGATGCCAATGCACAAACAGGAAGTGATTGGTAGTCATTCCACTCCAATCCAGTTGGTGGCAGTAATGCACCAAATTGTTGTTTTCCAAGTGCCATAAGACCACAAATAAGCAGAAGGAGAGAAAGCAGATGAAGAAGATGAGAGGCGGGAGCGTTCGTAACAAACTCGAAGCAGTAGCGAAAACATTAAGCATGAAATGGAGTTATCCTAGTGGCTTCAATAAGAGAAAGAAGCAGCTTGCTTTAAAAAAAGCTTTTATCTCCACTTCCAAAAGTGATGTCGTTTTTAATGTAAACATCAAAAGGAAGCAGAAAAGGAAAGACAATAGAAAATGTTTAAAGGGAGGAAAACATAGACCAAAACGGAAAGTAGAAGAAAAAAAGAAAAGCAAAGGCACAGGAGCACTGACAGGAAGACGAAAAAAGAGCAAATATTGAAGGCACTTGTAGCGGAATATAGTTGGTATATTCTTTACACTTTTATTACGTCCAGAGATTAATCTATGAACTGGGCCCTTATAATCAGAAGAGGTTGTTTTTACTTCAGGGAGTTTTATTCAAACACTTTGTATTGACTTAGAGACAAGAAAAGAGAGAGTTGGGATCGTTTAAGAATCATTAATTTCACTATCTACATATTTGGCGAGCCGACCAGGTGATACACCTTCTATCCGTCCTAATCCATCAAAGAGCTAATTTTTTAACAAAATTAATCGTTTTCTCTGTGTTTCACTTTGATGTCTTATTTTGAAAAACCGGAAGTTATTCCACACTAAAATCGTTCCTCTGGAGACGTCCGGGGAAAGAATTTTACGGTTTTAGCACAAGCTGTTTGTCAGTGTGGTTAACCATAGGTTCGAGAGATTCTTCTAGAATAAAATCAGCAGAGATAGCGTCGTTCATTCATTCATAACGCTACACACTCAAAGGGAGCGAAAGACAGGAGAAAAGAGGAGGACTAATAAAAAGTGAAAATAACTCATGTCAGAAGAGGGGAGAGTTTCACAAATCCAGTTAAAGATAAGATTGTTGAAATTTTAGTGTAAGGGGGCCCCGTGTCTGTGTTCGCCTTGGGCCCCCAAATTGCTAAATCCGCCACTGGCTGTAGTAAATAATGTTTGTACCTTGGTAATGATGTCTACACCCATTTACACTGCAGCAAATCTAAATAAAAACACAACTTTGTGATGATGTTGTCATGCGTTAATAAATCTGGGTGAGTATGAACTAACTTGTCTTGTGTTTTAAACTAGAGCTGGGTCTTTTTTTAACAGATCGAAGAAAAAAGTTTCAGCAATGGGGTTTAATGAAATCTGTTCTTTTTTCCACTGTACGGTTATATTTATTTATTACTTAACCCCATTTTAGGTTTTTGTTCTTAAGTGACTGATTGATAAAACATCATCAATTCAAGTCATTCATGATTAAATAAAGTTTACATAAATTATTTTAAACATGCTGAAGAATTTGGCACTTCTGGGCTTCCATACAGACCTGTTGACAGAGGAGTAGATGCTCCCAGCGACCTCCATGATTCCTCCACACCTGAAAAAAATTAATCAGAGAAGCATCTTCTATTAGTGTTTTGACTTTCAACCCTTTTTCCATTCCTCATGGTCTTAATTCCGACACAGCAATTAGAATCCGTCTTTTTTTTAACAGTGTCAAAATTTTTTCACTTAAATGTTTAGCATAACCTCCATCTTTGTGTTCTGGGGACAGCTGGTATGAATCAGTGAAACTGTAAATCTCCCTCAAACTCTTTTATAATTCACTCAGCAGTTTAAGTGGCTCCTCTGTGATTAAAATCACTCTTCTTTTCTCTTTTTTCCCTCTAACGCTCCGTCTTCTGCCACTTTGTCCTCTCAGGAGGTCAACTTGTGACCTGTAGAGTGACTAACATGCTCCACATACTTTCACATGTCTCTGAGTTCAAAATTTCAAAGTTCAGTGTCCTCCAAGATAGCGCTTGGTAATTTCCCAGATCTGCGACTGCTGCTGTCATTAGTTTCACTGGCATGTAGCCCAAATGTATGATGACTGATAAAAGGAGTTTAGGAGACAAAATCCCGACGTTTTCTTTACTGATTAAACAAAAGAATGCTGTAAAATACTTAGAGCTGACATCCATCCTTTTGTCGCTCCAGGTAAACATCTTTGACTCTCAGTCTTAATCTAATCTTCTTTGCATAAGATATGCACAGATCTTTGACACTAATAAACAAACTTTTCTTTTTAAATGAACCACTTACTCACCATCACCCATTGTACAGTCTGAGCTGTGTAAATTAAAGTATCCGTTGCAGCTGCAGCATCCAAACCGCTGGTGTGGACCACATGTACATCCAGGTCTGACAGTCTTGAACCACACGATTCCAACATTCAGCTCATGTTTCCCACCAGCGACATTCTTCTCCCTGTCTCTAGTCTTCATTCACCCTCACGCTCCCTTCACTCTGGATACGACTTCCTCCCTCTCTCCCTCCCTTAAAACTGGTCTGCCTCTCTCACAGCTGGACCAGGAGGATGAATGGACGTCCCATGATGCTGTCTAAAAATGCCACATTTTTTATCTCATAGAAGCGGGGACATTTGTACCGCGTGGGGTCATACATCATTGGAATAAATCACTTCCTGCTGAAATGGGAGTTTGGTGTTAACTCTTACTCCAGCTGTTTGGGAGCAGCAGTTGCTTGTGCAGCTGCAGCGTGTCAGCCCACCCTCCATGGCCTGACGATGGATTTTAAAAAAATGTTCTAGAATTTTACTCTTTTGTCCAGCTTTTCCACTAGTATCCAGAAAAAAAATCATATTAATCATTGAAGTAAACTCTCACGATTTCATTTTGGAAAATGCAGGTGAAACTTGAAAAATTAGAATATATTGCAAAAGTTAATTTATTTCAGTAATTAAACATAAAAGGGGAAATTAATTCACGAGATAGACTCGTTAGATGCAAGGCCAGATGTTTCAAGACTGTTTGTTTTAATTGTGATGATGATGGCTTACAGCTTATGGAAATCCCACATTCAAAATGTCAGACAATTAGAATATTGTTAAAAGATTAAATAGTCTAGACTTAAAGTGTCACACTCTAATCAGCTAATGAATCCACAAAACCTGCTGGATACAGGTCCTCCAGGACCAGGATGGGCCACCCTTGCTTTAGATGGTCTCTCAGTCTAAGATGAATTACTGAAATGAATGGATTTTTGTACCATATTCATATTTTTCAAGTTTCACCTGAAATTAAACATAGAAGATGTAACAATTTATTAAAAAGCTATATTTCCAAAAAATAATACCTCCACGGGGCAATTAGATGTGTGCAGAATTACAGTGCAGTATTTCCTTTAAAAGCTATATTTCTAATTAAAAATTAATCAAATATTTATTTTGATAGGCACAACACTGGGTTTATGTTTACATCTACCAGATAACAGAGGGTTTCAATCAGTCCGTGAGGCTGGCACTGTGGAAAATGGCGGACTCAAGACAAGCAGCTGCTTCTGAGCCCAGAAGATGCCATTATCCTTCTCAGACAAAGAGCGACCATAAAAGATCTAAAACCAGAGTGAGTTTAGGTGAAGCGTACAACAGATGGACCCAAACAAAAATTTCAACCTGGTATCTCAACAGCTGGAAACCTTGTTGCAACTACAACATACACAGACCAGATGTCGCTTTGGTATTTGTGTTTCATATTCAACCTTTAAATTAATAGTTATAATTTACCACATCTTCAAAAAATATTGATCCCAATAAAAATGTTAATCTAAATATATAAAAATAATTTTAAATATTTAAAATGATTCTCAATATTCAGTGGATGTGTTTAAAAACAAATGCTACTGTTTCAAACTGAATATTTCTACAAAAACGTCAGGATAAAGAGATCCCCTGTCTAACATCAATTTCATGATTGTATGAGTCTATATTATTGTGGATCATTCCTCACAAGAACACTGATAATATTTGCATGGATGAACAGCCCAATCAGAGGAATTAGATACGGGATCCCTTCACCCCACTTTTATTTTGGTAGGATACTTTTGCTTTTTGGCAGACTGAACTTACACTTTATCCATTATCCACCATATTCAACTTCATATAATCAGATTTTATTCTAAATATTTACTTTTAACAATATTATAACATTGTGATTTTAAAAAACGTGGTGAAAAGATGACTTTAATAAATTCTCATCTTTTTTTCTGATTATGAGGATCTAAATGTTTATAATGTGGTTCTTAATTTTTAAATACATTGCGTTGCGATCGGCGCTCCATTAACTAACTGACAAATACACGGAGAATCTATTGCATTAATGCAAAAACCTTACCAGTTTCAGATGCTGGTTTTCTGTTAGCTCCAGGCAGCAAACTATAGAATTAGAAGACAGGACTTTAGGCGGTTTGGTTTTTAAATGGGGACACATGCTCATGAGCCAATGGCAGTTGAGTTTTTACCAACAAATGGTGCAGCAACAGCTGCTCTGTGCACAGTTGTCTCATCTACTAGTCAGCCAAGAGCCAGGAATAAAAAATTACAAAAAAAATAGGATTTGTGAAAATCTAGTCTCCCAGTTGACAGTTTGATGAGATGTTTACCGAGAAGCTGTACATGAATATTTGGATAAGTTACGTTCATTTTTAAAGGCTATACATCCCCCCAACGGGGACAAATTCGGGCTTTACAAAACTAATGATTATGATATTATAAAAAAAGAATATTTATTTTTAAATCATTGTAGATGCGGGTAATTTTCTACTTGCATATAGAAGATTCCTGTATATTCTGAGCTTGTTCATTGTGTTTTGAAAGTTCCCTCAACACACACACACACACACACACACGCACACGCACACGCACACACCACACACACACACACACACACACACACACACACACACACACACACACACACACACACACACACACTTCCAATTGTTAGATTACCAGAGTGTAGAATTGGCTCATTGCCACTGGAGCGCGACACGTCCCCTTCTTGTTCTTGCCAAGGCAATAAATAGCGCTGTAGCTTGGGCTTAGCATTTTGACTTCATACAGCCATTGTGTTTAGCATGGTTACATGTGTTACATAAGTAATGTTTTAATTGTGTTTTTACTAAATAAAACAGAGTCAAAGGCTGATAATATAGAGGCTAAAATGTTCTCTTTTAGATTATTTAACAGAACCAAAGTGTAGTTCCAGCTTGTTACTACTGGGGGACAAAGTATCCTTTTGTTGTGCTAATGTAGTTTCCTCTACATCCAGGGGCGCCGTAAAGCGGTGAAAGATTAGGAAGATTCTAAGGGCCCACAGCTGTCAGGGGCCCAAAAAAAGTTTCAAAGTTGAATAAAAAATAAAGTTTAAAAATCAAAAGTACTTTATTTTGCAGTATTTTTTCTCATTTAAGACATTAAACAAACAATCTTTTAGTCTTTATGAAATGTGTATTTATTCAAAGGTCCCTACTTTATTTTGAGTAATTAATTTGACACTCCCCCCCCCCCCCCCCCCCCCCCCCCCCACGGCATAAAATGGTACAGTCCACCTGGCTGAGGGGCGCGTAGCAGGCCTGGCTAGCTCATGCAGCTGTCAGATAGCAGAGTGCGCCAAGGCTGCAGTAAAAATATGTCTGCAAAAACAAAGTCTGGATCACAGAAAAGGAAAGAAAGAAAGGAGAAAGGACAGGCAGAAGAGATGTCACACAGTTTTTCTCAAAGAAAGGTGGGTTTAGTTAGTGAGTGATTAAATTCAACCTGTTTGCTAGCTTTGATATCCACAGTGAGAGGAACTATGTTTCATCTAATTATGGTAAATGGGTTGTCGTCCTTGTCCCTACCAGAATCAGCAGCTGATGATATGTCAGCAGCTGTCCCCTCACAACCCAATGAACCTCAAGAAGGTGAGCAATGTAGCATGTTAGCTAGCAGCCTCATTTAAGGGGGTCTGTGGGAATCACTTAAGGCTCTCTTCTCTATCAGTACTATTACAAAGGAATATAAAAAGGCTATTTTTAGTGATAAACACATAGTTTTTCTCCCTTAATGATAATTATATATATCAATCAGTAAAAATGTATAGATTGTTTTTGATGCTGGGCAGGTTGAAGCATTGTTATTTAGTCCGTCACTAAGTATGTCTCTCAGGAGCATTATTAATTATATCACTGTAAATAATAAATCTTGCTGTGTACAATCAAAGCTGAATATATTTTTAGCTGTTTTTTGTTGTTGAGAAAAATGGGTTTCTAGAAACTTATATACGTATTCATGCAAAGTTGTCCAACTTTAAAAATGTATGTAACCCTAACTGACTCCGGTTTGAGCAGTGTGCTTATTCATTTTGTGTCTATGATGAAGCCATGGAGACTTAATAAAGAAGTCACCTTGTGAGCAGTGAATCCTTAATTTTTGTCAGTCATACAGAAATACTTGATTTCTAGAGGAAAGACAGCTGAAAATGTAGTTATGTAAAGCTTTGACACAACATGGACATTTATTTAGATATCCAAATTTGAATGTCATCATAAAAAAATTAGAATAAATAAACACATTTTAAGGGAGTAAAAGGGAAAAGGAGATTAACACCTTTCAGCATGTGCATTTCCTGCTTTTTCCAGCAGTGATATTGCTAATTCTGTTGAAGGAAATTCACTGTTTAATGAGAGACAGCTGGTGAAAATGATATGTGAATAAGTAAGAATGCATGTAGACCTACATAATTAAGCAAAACTGAAACACTAATATAAAGGATATATATTATATTTTTTTCTCCCTTCGAATCTGGGAGGGTGGAACCCCAGCTCCAGCTATAAACAAGCCCCCAGGGGGCCCAACTTGATATATTTTCATGGGGCCCAAAATCTCTGGCGGCTCCCCTGCAGGTGACTCCATTTCTTTTACAAACCTTAAGGAATCACGTGGTAATCTCATGGATTTTTTTTTACCTTAAACAACGGAATGAGTGCTGGTTCCATGTACACGTTACTATAGAGCATTATTACCTTGTAGATTATTAGAATAAACAAAATTAATTTGGCTTTTTTTATTAGATCTTATAACCTCCTCGTGAGCATAAAGTGGGTGTAAAAATTAAAGCGGGTTGTTTAGGTTAATAAAATGTGCACTTGTTTATTCAACATAAGCCTGACAAAGCAGGTATGAAAATGTCAGTTATTGTTATTTTAATTATTCTGATTTTCCCCGCTGGATCACGGCAGTTGTTAACAAGTCCCTTTGTCAGACATTTATTTACTGAACTGTTACATGTAGAGTTTACTACTGATAACCTCAAACAGGCCCGGAGTGGCTAATCGGGGTCTGGACCGCAAGGCCCTGGTGTTGTTTTTGTTAGTTTGTGTGTTTGTTTGTTTGTTTGTTTTGGACCGGTGCTCAGTCATCATGTCACTGGGCTGATCCCTAAGACTGCCTACCTGCTAAAAGGGCCTCTCATGTCAGGTACAAAAACATATGTTTTTATAACTCGTCAGTTCTTGTCTTCTTCTCTTTTTGTGTTGGGGTTAGGGTTCAGTCATGGCTTTGATCAGATGCCGCTACC